ATGGCCACCTAGATCTGCAGCAAGACAGCTGTTACATGGCGGGGAGCAGCGTTGCTGACACGGGGCATGTGAGTTGGTCGTAGGCGACGGCTCTGTAAGCCACAGTCCTGGGATATCGATTTCCCCATTCCAAGCACGAGCGCGTCCAGTCACCCTACGTTCCAGGATGATTATTTTCAGCTGTGTCTCCCACATGGAGATTCGCTAGTCCTCCGATTAGGCCCTTCGCCACCAATTCCCAACGAAAGCTTTCATTCCTCAACCCAAACTCCGCTTTTAGGCTGGGCTAGCTTGTAGGGCTTTGGGTTTAGGATGTCAGCAGCACTGCATTGCTTTGATGGCGGTCTGTGGCCGCGCGAAGTCGTTGATGCCAGCCAGCCACGAAAAGAGGTCGAAGCTTGCAACGCGCAGCATGGGCTGCTAAGCCGGAAGCCCCAGAAGCCCAAGCGCGAACCCTTTTTGTCCTTAAGGAATCATCTGTTACCGGAGACCCCGACATCAGGGTTCTAGGTTATAGGAAGGTAGCCTTCAGCCCCAAGCCAGAAACCCTACGCCTGCAGCTGGGACATCGAAAGCGTAAGTCCACAAACGGGCTATGTCTTGAAGAGCAGAGTTCCAGGGTCTTTGTGAGGGCTTTCGACAGGACCCCCACAACTCTAAACGGCCGCGATTGTCTTCCCAACATTCGTGGGGTTAGGTTCCAAACCCTAAGCCCTAAACCCTCCCTTGGGGCTTGGATCCAAGATCGGACACGTCAGTTGTCACAACTCTTTCTCGTGGCCAAGAAGGACCGCAACACTCCGAATGACCAACTGCGGACCTTTGAGGTCCTTGAGCCTTCAGAGCATAGAATCTCCCTCCCCCAAGGCCTGAAACCGCAATCCAAGCATCAGGTACCCTCTTAAGGTACCCTCTTAAGGTACCCTCTTAAGGTAGCCTCTTCAGGTACCCTGCCATCCCAAACTTCCGCCGCTTTGTCAGGAAGGTCGGCAGAAGGCGTGCGAGTCAGCGAGGCCGGCTCAAAAGCTTTGAAAGCTCAGTGCATGAGGCTCTTGAAGATGACTCAAAGCAGATAGGGTTTAGGGTGTAGAGTTTAGGGTTTAGTAATCATCTATCTCCCATTTTGTCCACTGTCTCCGTAGACTCTCCCTTGAGGTGAAATGGCAGATGCCCCCCTGTGAGGTAAAAAAAGCAGAAAGCCTACGCGCGCTTCCCAAACACCAGGGATTGTTGGCCCAATGCTGTCATGACTTGCTCTTTAAAGACTCAAATCGCGTTTTGTGCTTCTGTGGGCCGCTGGGCAGGAGGGAAAAGAGATCTGATCCAGGGAATCTAGGGCCGTGTGGTTGTAGTAAGCACCCGAGCTAGCTTCAATGCGCAGCGATTCCGGCTGAGGCCTGGGATGGCTGAAGTACTCTTGAAGCACCGCACAAAGTCTCCACTGGGTTTAAGCCGCCAAGGCTCGCAGGAACACTAGATTGAAGTGAGCAGCACCTAGCTGCAGTGGAGTTCACGTCGAACTTTGACAGGGCAGCATGAAAGTTCCTCCCCCCCCCTGGCGAAGGCAAAGGACATGTCATAAAGCGCCTCAGGCCCTCGATTCCACTTGGAGTTGAAGCAGTACATTTGCATCCCCTAGCTCTACTTAACTCTTTATGCCATGTCATGACATAGATAAGAGCCCCTTTTGGGGGGGTTGATCAAACTTGTGGGCTCTTGTGGCCCAAGCAACCATGTGTGTGTGTGGGTGGGGGACTTCAAACCTGGCAGGTCCTCCTGCGCGGAAGTCTTTGCGGCGAGCTTGCCACTGTGTCTGCCTTTGGGGCATGCTTTCCTTCACAGGGTTGAGGGAGGTCGAGGCTAAGTAGAGCTGTCTGTGGAATGGTTTGATGGAGAAGCTTCTATGAGCGCACATTCATGTCGTGCTACCCAAGCTGTTCCGACCCTTTCTTTGTAGGTCTAGATAGGGGCCATCAATGTCAGTTCTGTCAGGGTCCTGAAAGATCGCCCTGTTGCTCTCCAAAACCAACCTGCACAGATCATGCCAGATGAATCGCCATGAACTCCTGCGTTTGGAGGACTGCTTGCGCAACTCCTGCTACTCGCAGACGGTGCAAGCCTCGCGAGACACCGAGGCTGAGCTAAGAAGACCCAAGCCCAAACGGCCCAAAATCCAAGTTAACAGTGTCGGGCTCACAGGGAGCCGGGTCGAGCAACCATGTCTTGGGTTATTGGAATCAGGGACACAGGCGTTCACAGAAGGTTCATGTAGGTTTAATGTAAGACTTTAGAATGAGAAGGCGTGCTTCAACGAATGAATCGACGAATGCCAATCGGGTTGGTTCCAACTGCGTCACATCAGGTACATGCATACAAGGCACAGAATAAGGCAGGAATCAAAGCGACGAACCGGGGATGGATTGAGTCAAGCGCATGCAGGATTGAGGCCGGAGGAATGTCCAGGACCCGGCGTTTTTCCGACTCAGCCTCCGTTTTGTCCCTTTCCTGTTCACTTACCTCCTGCCTGTGCTTGCGACACATTGCTTCAAGCTTGCCAACTCGGCCGTCATCGTGCCCTCAGCCCTCAACCAGTCAAAAATTAGCCAGCGATGACGAAATGCGCACTTCTAACCCCCCAAATGGCCCCCCCGAAGCTCCAGGTGTGCCGAGTCTCGCCGACATTGTTGCAGCTTGTGGCGCTGGAGTTTCCAAGAGTCGCTTGGCTAAGGGCTTAGGGTTGCCCCAATGCCCAAACCCCCGAAGCTATTGTCAAGTATATGACTCTTTTAGGGTCTTGAAAACGTGAAAAAACCATTTTAGGGTGTTTTTTAACGTTAAAAAAACCCTGAATCCCTGCCCCCCCCCCCCCCCCCCGCCCGCCCCACCTCAAAGGACTCTCGAACCCCTTCCCGCGCCCTTCCTGCAAACCCGTCAGGCACCGACACCCTCCGCACCAGCACAGGCCCTGAAATCCTCACCATCCTCAGGCAGATCAGCGTCAACTCTCTACCCAGGGTGTTTTGTGAGTGTTGGGGGGAGCAGGGTTTAGGGTTTCGGGGCCCTGAGACGGCTCCGTTGCCTGAGGCGATCCTCCACTTCAGTTCACAGATTGGGAGGAAGCCTCCCCAGCCCGAGGCCAGCTGATGGGGGCTTAGGGTTTAGGGTTGAGGGTTTAGGGCTTAGGGCTTAGGGTTTAGGGTTTCGGGTTTAGGGGTTAGGGGTTAGGGGTTAGGGTGCTTGAGCTCGGGATCGCCTGTTTCTGTTTCCAAGCGAAATTATGGCTGCGTGGCTCCAATTGGCAGCTCAGGTATCACCCTGTGTGACGGTATTCACATCCGAAGACTGGTTTGCAGACTCTCTTCTGGGTTGATAGTTCTCGGGGTGTTCACTGGTGTGCTTTCTCCATGCATCGCAAGAACTGCACTGTGGGTCAAACTATGCAGGATGCATCGGTTCAGCCAAAGGTGTTGAGGAGTGGAGGATTGCTGTGTATCGTTGATCACTGCCATAGCCTGAGACATAGCAAGTTGACCCATGGCCATACGCTGTTTGGGGCTGTTGCACAATCATGGGCATACCTTGGAAAAGTGTGCCGCTTGGAGTGGCTTTCTCGGCTACTTGAACAAGTCCCAGTACATTCCCGAAAGAATGAAGAACTTAGGGAGTGGAAGCCCTGTGGTTGCGGCACCCTTTTCCGAGCACATTCTTGTGCGCCTTGGTGAGAAAGCGAACGCGCTCATGCCAGGTTCAATTATTAGACCCACTTTCCAGTTGGGCGCCCCTGGCAATCGGAATGAAAAAGAATATCTAGCTGCCTACTTGCATACCCTGATGAGGCAACAGCCAACGCAAAGTACAAGACGACCATCACCGTCGTTCCTGCAACTGCGGATGTGGACATAAATCGATCCTTGGTGGCAGCCAGACGTAAAGGACACCAAGGCCGCTTTGCACGCTACGCTGATAGACTCTGATAGACCTCAGCTCGACTTGGCTGTGCAAGAATCACATGAATGAACAGGCGGTTCAAGCTTAGACTTGACGAGGCTGCACTGACATTGTAGTGGGGGTTGCAGGGTCTAGATTCTAGATGATGCCCTCAAGCTCGACTGAAATGTCGCAGTAGGACAGCACACAGTTTACATCTGGCTTGACTCCGTCCCTGATCCTGATGTAGATCCTCGTGCGGATACATATTCCTGAACGTTCATGTTGTTCCGGTGCTTCTAGGGCAATCCTCCAAGCGGTAACCTGCAAGCTGCTAGTAACTGCAAGTAGTTGTCTGCAGTAGAGCAGTCAAACCCTCTAGGCGTATTCCTGTGGAAAGATCACGAACGGTGAGCCGCTCTGTTTCGTATAGCTCCTTGATCAGCCTCGTAGGCTTGGCCAACTTTGAGCAGGATCCCACTGCGAGGTGATGCAATGGTTGGTCCCAAGCGTCGTCGAAACCACATACCCTAAACCATCAGGATTGACAGCGCTAAGAGTCGAAGCCGCTAAAGTCGGGACCGGGGGCCCCTCCCGAAAAGAAGATGTATTGAAGTTTTCCTACATGCGTGAACCCTAAAGCTACTTGGCGCTCCGTGAGTCTGCACTCTTCAGGTTTTCCTGTCATGGCTCCAAAAAACGTAAACTTTGCTCTGCGGGAGTCTGAAGGGGTGGCGGTGGCCGAGGAGCACAGGTGACCCGAGTAGAGTGAGTTCAATCCAACAACCCCATGCCGAAAGTGGGGGGGAGCACGAAGAGTCTTATGGCAGCACCAATAGCCATAAAGACAAAGCAAGTAACAGCTCGGCCCGAAGGCCAGACTGAAGCATGAAGCCTTCACAAACTCCCAAGGTGTCTGCTCCAAGTTGACGGCGGCCCCTGGGCTCAGCAATCGGAGGGTGTGGGAAGGTTTGATGCCACTGCTACATATGCTCATAGGGCTTTGGGGGCTGTTTACTTGTGGCCGTCTTTGGGTGGGCAAACAAGAGGCGCTGAACGTGCTCGGGAACGCCATGCACGTCACGCCGAGCACGGACCTCTTCTGTGCCTGGGACCTTTCTGCGCTCTTGACTAAGAAACCCAAGCTCTCAAGGCTTGATTAGGCGTTAAACCAGCTCCGCGCCAGCCTCCATCCCCTCTCCACCCGCCAAACCCCCCCCCCCCCCCAACGAAGCCTGGAACCTCTGAGGTGCGGCTCCCGGGGTGCAAGCCGCCGTCCGAAACTTGGACGAAGGCGGGGAAGGTTTGGGCTTAGGGTTTGGGGGAGGGGTGGAGAAGCAGCATTTCTGTACACCCTCGTCGGCCTTTACAGCAGGAACCGGCGAAATGCGCAGATGGCTTGTGAACAACGGCGAAGCCGAAAGGGCCCTGAACAGACTGTTTCTCGAAGAAACGCCAGCAACAGAGCCTGCAATGCCTTTTGGAGTTTAGAGGTTTGAGCCAGAAGCTGTCTGTCCTACATCCTTCCCATGCACGGACCAGGGCGGTTGGCCAGGCTTCTGGCCGACTTGGAGGCACGATAGACATCCCGCCGGGGGTCAAAAGGAATGGTGAAGAAGGTATCAACGCACTTGGCTTTCGTACTCTTTCGGGCTTAGCATTTTTGGAGTTCAGAGGGGCCCTTTACTTTCTTACAGGGTTCTGAAGTACGGGCGCTTGCGTTTTATAGGGTGTAGAAGGGGCAAAGGTCTCCCCAAATCCCATCAGACAACTCGAGGCATTTGAGCTCCACTCCCACGAAACAATCCCTGAAGGGGCCAATGAGCCCTCCAGTGCCATTGAACAAGCCCCTGACCTCCCAAAGCACGTGGCAGGAAAGGCATCGCTGGCTCGTCTATGAGGCTCCTGACCGCATGTGTTCCGGGCCTCACTGCGTAATATTCAGGCTGCGAGCCAGGAGACGAGGGCGGATCTGAGTGAAGCTCCGGCCCTTCCGGTGCCCCCACCGGCCAAACAATAGGATCTATGAACGCCCAAGTCCCGGCTCCACTCCAGTGACGCAGCGAGGCTGAAGCTCCTGGCAGCAAGGGTGTGACAGCACCGCGGCCGAAAAAACTATGCAAGAGAGGGGAGGGGGCCGCTTCCAGCTAGTACTTCGCTCGTCTCTCCACACCACAACTGCAGCTCGAAAGCTAACAGTATTGTCGGACCCTTGGCTCCCCAGGACTGGACTCGACGCTGTGTGCGCCAGGCGCACTTTGGGGTTGCTTTGGAGGATCTTGTGGGCTGCAGGCCAGGATTGGGTTGGGGCCCAGATCTTTGCATGGCTTCGGATCTGCAAAGAATCCGAAGTCGGAATTCGTCTTCGGAAGTTGCGCCGCAGCCTTTGCACCATGCCCACTGCCGGCCAGCATACTCCGTGCTTTGTCCCCTGACGCCCCTACATGCCGGAGAGTCTTTCATGGCCCTCAAAATAGCAGCGAATTGAGATTTCCTCGAGTATCCGATATTCAGAGGCGGATCACATCCTCGTGGCGACGAACTTTAACGGGCAGGGCCGTGGCGATGTGGAGCCGAAGCTAGGCTGATGACTGTCGGCACGCCTAAACGTTCCTACTTTGAGAGCATTTCTCACAGGTGCTTGTTGCTATGTATGCTTAGATCACAGTTGAGGGATGCTTCGGGTGCTGGACAGGCGCCCTGTAGCTTTAGCTTCCAAACCCATGGAGGATGGTCGTTTTAAGGACTGAACGCTTCCCATGGAGTTTAGGATTTGGCTTGAGGGCTTGGGCTCTCTCCTTCAGTGCTGAGCATGCCTGCCCAAACCGCCCAAACCCGAAGCACGAAATGCGGGACCTGAGGACTCTGAACGAGAAGCACGTCTGTGACGCAGCGCCGATGCTTGGAAGCAAAGGCTCCGTAGAGTTGGGGGGCGATGAGCGGAGCTTCGCATAGGATTCCGCCCTAGAGAAAGACCGGACTTCTCGTCAACCCTAATTGGGGGAGTTCACAAAAATTTGGGGGTACCTGATTTGGGGTCCTTAATTGTTCTTAAGGGGGTCCTACTATTTGAGGATCCATATTGGGGGTCCCCCTATTTTCGTAAGCCCTCGATGAGGCCCCAGAGTGTGCGTATCGAAGCCTCCCGTCGGCTCAGAGCCTGACCTGCCCTTTGTTTAGGGTTTAGGGTTTAGGGTTTAGGGTTTAGGGTTTAGGGTTTAGGGTTTAGGGTTTAGGGTTTAGGGTTTAGGGTTTAGGGTTTAGGGTGAATCTTGTGTGGCTTCTTTTTTTGTTGCTCAGATCTTGCTAAGGCTGTACGTCACCCGAGAGCTGCTCCTGCTCCACAAAGGAGTCCAGGGGAAGAGTGGCCACCCAGCTGACCATGGTGGCAGTTGTCCAGTTCTCAGGAATACGGGGGTTTCCGAAAATAGGGGTATCCCTTTTTGGGGGTCTTTTGTAAGGGGGCTCTATACTATTTGGGGTATACAGGGGGTACCCCTATTTTGGGAAATGCCCATATCGGCTTCAAGTTGATAAGTTGGGGAGTTGGACTACATTTGATGGGCGCACGGAAACATGTTGCACGCACACACTGGGGGGAGTTCTTACCTGGGGGCAAAGCTTTGCGGCTCTTATCGAGGCGTGACGTGACCTTTGGGTCGAAATCGCGCTCTGAGACTCTCGCTCAGCCCCGCCCTCGTTCTTCGTCGCTCGGTGTCTTAGGTCGCGCTCTCGCCTCAGTCCTGTCTGCATTTCGCGGTGTGGTGTTTCAGTTGATGGTTGTCCAAAATCTTGGGCAAGTGGCCACTGGGCTTTGTGTCACTCTTCGAAGTTCGTGTGTGTGTGTGTGTGTGTGTGTGTGTGTGTGTGTGTGTGTGTGTGTTGTTGTGTGTGTGTTGTTGTGTGTGTGTGTGTGTGTGTGTGTGTGTGTGTGTGTGTGTGTGTGTGTGTGTGTGTGTGTGTGTGTGTGTGTGTGTGTGTGTGTGTGTGTGTGTGTGTGTGTGTGTGTGTGTGTGTGTGTGTGTGTGTGTGTGTGTGTCTGTGTGTGTCTGTGTGTGTGTTTGTGTGTGTGTGTGTGTGTGTCTGTGTGTGTGTGTGAGTGTGAGTGTGAGTGTGAGTGTGTGTGTGTGTGTGTGTCTCTGTGTGTGTGTGTGTGAGTGTGTGTGAGTGTGAGTGTGTGTGAGTGTGAGTGTGTGTGAGTGTCTGTGTGTCTGTGTGTCTGTCTCTGTCTGTCTGTCTGTCTGTCTGTGTGTGTGTGTGTGTGTGTGTCTCTGTCTCTGTCTGTCTGTCTCTGTCTGTCTGTCTCTGTCTGTCTCTGTCTGTCTCTGTCTGTCTCTGTCTGTCTCTGTCTGTCTCTGTCTGTCTCTGTCTGTCTCTGTCTGTCTCTGTCTGTCTCTGTCTGTCTCTGTCTGTCTGTCTGTCTGTCTGTCTGTCTGTCTGTCTGTCTGTGACCTGTCTGTCTGTCTGTCTGTCTGTCTCTCTGTCTGTCTGTGTGTGATGCCGTTGCTAGTGCGTCGTCGCTGTGTAGGGTAGGGTGTGTGGGAGGCGCTTGCATGCCATGTGCGTCATCATTGCACATTTTCTGCTGTAGAAAAAATCGACCCCGGGGTAGGGATTCAGGCTCCCAAGTCCACAACATAAGACCACACAGACCTCAGCCATTCAGCAATTTTGGAGAGGCACGGAGCTCCACCGCTTGAGATGGGCTGGGTGGATGGGTGATTCGAATTCTTTCTCTAGGTGTTGGGCAAGGCGCTTGGATATTCTGTGTCGGAGTTTGGATCGGGTTATGTGCAGGACCCAAGGCCGGCCCGAGCTCAAGGCCCCAAACGCCAAAGGCAACAAAATGCATCCGTGACGTAATGCCTGGGACTAGTGCTTAGGGCTTTCACCGCCTAAAGCGCTGGAGGCAAAGTCTCCAAGCTGTCCTCCATGGACGACTGGTTTGTGGGTGCGGCTGCGCGGGCTGACTCGCTGCGGCCGGGCGTTACAGGCGATCCAGGGTGGGGATGGGTGGGTGGGTGTGGGGGGGTGAGGGAGCATTCAGGGTTGAGTGCTTGAGGTTTGGCCGGCCGTATGCACGGTTTACGCAGGCCATGAAGAAGAATGACGTGACATGGATCTCGTTTCATCTCACGTCGACCCATGAGCCGCCTTAGCCTTAAAGCTGATACCGAAAGCATAATCCCTAAGGCCCCAAGGCCCTGAAGCCCAAAAAATGCGGAGGCTTCGTGCGACATCACCTCTTTGCACCCCGTCGTGGTGGCGGGGCTTTGAGGCCACAAGAAACAAGGACTCAGGTGTCAGGTTTCCTGCAAATACCTTTGTGGGGGTTTTCAAGGGCTTTGGAAGGTGTCAGATCTCTTGGCCTTCAGAACAAAAATGGCGCACGAGGATGAGAGCGTGAACTCAACCAGGAGGTTCCCCAAAAGACTGTGACGGCACACGAATGAACCTAAACCAATACGAACGCTGGAGCCTTGCATACAAACCTCAGAGCAGCCTCCACGGCTCCCTATAAACCTTTAGGCACCCGAAGCTGCGAACCCTGAAAGCCCTGAAAGCCCGAACGAAGACGGCGCCAAAGTACCAGAGTCCAAACCGGTCCCCAAGCACGTCTGCCAGGTCGACGCGCCATTACTTGAATCCGCGACCGTGGGCCAGGATTCGTTCAGATGCTGATCCGGGATGGGTGGTGCAGGGTTATTGCTTGCAGGGCGGTCTCGAGATATAATTACGAGCAGCTGTGTGGGTCCGATTGGTGTTGCGAGGAGCAGGAGTGTGCAGGACGCTATAGTCGTTTCCCTCTGATGCTTGTGAACACCTGGCGAAGCAAAGAGCTAGACAACCTGGTCCCCAGGATGCAGGGGGAGTTTTAAAGTAGGGTTCATCAATGAGCACCACACTCATGAAAAGTTAGCTATCCCGGATGCAAGATTGCCTGGACTCTTTCGGAGCCTATACCCAACGATTCCGCATGCAATCTCCAAGGTCCAGAAGTCGTGTATACACATCGGGCGCAGTCCGCTTGACGGAGTGCGACGTGCCCCTGAACCTCAAATCCACGGCCCTGAGCCCCAAAGCATAGAAAACCTCGTGACCGTCCCCTTGATCCCTAAACCCTAAACCGCAAACCCCAAACCCCAAACCCTAAACCCTAAACCTCAAGTTTGCCTGCTCCAGGAGGTGGCACCATGTGCGCGTGGGCCACGGGGACTCGCTGGACTGGGCCAGGTGTCATGAGATCCCGAGTTTGGGGGGCCTGGTTCTTCAGCTTTTTCAGCTTTTGCAGCTGTTTCAGTGATTTCAGCTTTTTCGGCTTTTGGGTTTAGGGTGGGTTTGCTTCGGGTTCGTGTCTTTGAATTTTGCACGCTCCAGTAGCTGAGGAAGTCGGAGTTCTGGTGCAGGCTGCAGGGTTGTTAAGCTTGGTAACTTGGAGGCTTGGGACTTCTTCGGGCAGTGGGGGCTTGTATTGAACTCTAAGTTGGAAGCCTTGAGCATTCTGCTCAAACACACATTCACCCTCAACGTGTTGGAAAGCTTGGCAAACTTTCAGCCTTAGCAGCCTCAAGCCTAGAAGGGAACCGCTAGAAGGGAACCGGAACCGAAACCCTTAGTGGAGGTGCGCGCGGCTCCTGGCAGGGAAAGCCATTGGTGTCTGCTTTGGCGGGGGTGGTGCACGTGGGTGTCTGGGCGTTATTCTGGTTCACGCCATTATGGGGTTCAGGCAGGATTTGGATTTGGGGGCGTTCGGAGTTTAGACTTGGTGGCCCTGTCCTTCACTCAAAGCTCAAGAAGGTCTCCATTAGGGAACAAGTCTTCATGGGTCAGCAATTCAACATGTCTTGGTGCTTTCACGTTCCTTCAGAATGTCCCCTTAAGTGGTGCCGTGCGGTAAGGCCTTTGCATTGTCTCCACATCGAGTTTCAAGATGTTGGTCTCATGCGGGAAAGACGCAAGAGGAAAAAGCTTCTTCTTGTTTTGTTCTGGAGATGCTCTACCAACTGAGCTTGAACCCAAACACACAGAGAGGGTGGACTGTCTGGATCAGCTCGATGTTGTGAGGAAGCCAAAAATGCATCGGCCGGGAATCGAAAGCGCGATGCGGAGTGAAGCGTGGGGTTTTGTAGATGCTGGAATGCGGCCTGGGGAAGATGCATGCGAGCGCCGGCAGGCAGTGGCGGCCAAGGTCCCACAACCCGGGACCCTACAAAATCCCCTATTATTCGATCTCAGGCTTCGTTCGAAACAAAAGGGTTCAATGCTTACGGCTTTAAAGCCCCTAAAATCGCCTACGCGACTTAGGAACTGCCACTTCGGCGTCATAAAGGCAGGCAGCTTGTTGAGGTGAAGCCTAAAGCCCAAACCCAAAGCCCCTGAAACCTGACGCTTCTTGAAGCTCGCAGACTGCTGCAAATATCAGGGTATCAACTAAAGCCTCCTGCGGACATGGTCTGAGCAAACCGATAAAAGCTGAAGCAGGAACTGCTGTTGAGCCAATTGCAATAGACAGGCGATGCAGGAACTTGGCATACCGATCGATGCGGCTTGACCAGAAGTGAGTTCAGGTCATGGTGTTGAAGACTTTGGGCTCCAGATAGTATTATGGGATCAAGAGCCTAGGGTGTGAGGCTTGGGTCCAGCGGCTTACTTGGTTCAGGCTTGCTTTGGCTGCAGCTATCCTCTGTGCCCAACCCCTTGAGCGGTGGAAGAAAGTAGTTGTTCTCCAGTGTTTGGGTTTTGTGCTCGCTGCATGCCTGTGTGGACGTTTGCGCCAGATCAGAGTTTATGCTCCAATACACAAAGTGTGACAGCCAGCAGTATCAACCACGCGAACTCCGAAGCTGGAGGAACTGTGTGACTAGAATGGCTGTCAGAGGAAATGTGTGTCGTGGGTTCCCGTGCGCATCAAGTGCAACTTGTCAGAACGTGAACAATCTTCAATACCTGACTCGAACATGAAGGAAACGCCAAAAACCGTAGGTCAAAAGGTTTGAGGAGGGGAAACCCTGCAGCCCTCAACCCAGGTGGTCAGCGGCACATCGTTTGGAGCCCTCGCGGGGGCGATGTGACTGGGCAGCATGCTTCGGCCTCGCATACCGGCAGTTCCTCAGCCCTGGGACAGGTTCTCGACGAAGCTAACTAAAGCTCAAAGGAAATCCGAATTAGAAAACAACACCTTAGAACGACCAGACAAAAATGTTAAACAACTGCTTACCTCAATCATCCCCACCCTACAGCTAACCAAAGTCGGAGCCGTCCTGCCCTTCTCGTCGCCGAAATCTGTCAGTTGCTGATCCTGCGCCCTTTCGCCACAGGATTCTGTCACGGTGTTTGCAGAGATGGCACCCCAAGTTCGTCCAGGGATACAGTGCTGGATTTTCTGGGGGGAGCACGCCAGGGATTTCTCTTGAAGGTTGGAACTTGGGATCCTCGGCGGGATTCTCTGGCTTGAGGATTCGATGCAGTGCGAGACTCTCTGTGTCTGAGCACATGCGGGGGTTTGCGGGGTTCGTGGGAATTCTCTGGGGCTGGGCTTTCCGGGGATACTTGGCGGGATTCTTTGCGGGAGTGTCTGCGCGATTCTCTGGGGGTGGGCACTCAACACTCGGCGGGACTTTGGTTTAGGGTTTAGGGTTTAGGGTTTAGGGTTTAGGGTTTAGGGTTTAGGGTTTAGGGTTTAGGGTTTTGGGATGCAGGGCCTGATCTGGGGCAAGCGACCTTCCTTCAACTCTGGGTCTCTGCCTTTGACTTACAGGTCGGATTCCGTGCTACTGGTGTTACTAGTGGACCCCTAAACCCTAAACCCTAAACCCTAAACCCTAAACCCTAAACCCTGAACCCTGAACCCTGAACCCTAAACCCGAAACCCTAACGCTGGATTTCTGTGGCACTCCTCTTGGAATCCATGCTCCCCCGAATCTCATCCCTAGGATGGTGAAGCCCATCCCGAGAGACTCCATTCCATGGAGGACCAAAGGAACCCTAAACCCTAAACCCTAAACCCTAAACCCTAAACCCTAAACCCTAAACCCTAAACCCTAAACCCTAAACGGGTTCATGGTTCATAGACCCAATACGGATTATAGTAGTATAGGGTATATGGTCCCAATTTTAGGGTTCAGTTGGTTCCCAAGGTATTCCATGAGTGCGCCCGAACCTCGCTCTCTGCCGGCGCTGGTGAAGAAGGCGATGGGCAAGCAGCATCCCGGCTGTGGTTTAGGGTGCAGTTTTCATGGCTGCCTAGGGCTTGGGGTTGCGGAGTTGTCGGACTCCGGTGCTGTGGAACCTCTTGTGGACCAAAGGGTGGGTTTGGGGTTCATGGTCGTCTCCGCTTTCAACGGTGAGATTCCGAGTTGAAGGCTGCGAACCCGAACCCAGGCTTGTGTTCCCAAAACCCCGGCATCATGATGACGCTCCTATGTCCGTTTGTAGGTTTCTGAACACAGTTGGAAGTACCTGAGGTCAAGCCCGCTTGCTAAGAAATCCCCAAAGGAGCCGCTGTTAACTTTCTGAGAGAATATAGTGGCTTCCAACTACTTTTTTCCGGCTGCTGCACATCCTGTGTTGAGGTTCTACCACGACAACAGGTCACCTCCAAAATTTCCCCCCCTAGATAAACACTGTTAACCGTGAACTCCCACTAGAATCCAGAGCTAGATGTTAATTATTACACCATGTACACGATTGTATATCTATATGTTTATATATATATATATATATATTATGTTGTATTACATTCTATTCTGCTATATAAAATAATCTGATATGATAGCATATCATTGCATGGTGCAAGGAAGCCAAGGTTTTCCACCCGGAAGATGCTCCTGGATTTGAACTTTCCCAGAACTGCATACTTCACGGGGGCCTACCTCAACAACGTCCTGAGCCACGGCCCGAGGGATTAAAGGTTGGGTGTTTCAGGCATCGTGAATTTGTGCATTGCCAGATAGGCTTGGCGATCCTGCCGATGGAAGATTTCCGAGGGGCACCAAGTCCAACAACCAGAAGCTACATGACCCCAGAACGACTTGCGAAAGTGATTGGGACGATTGGGCCCAAGGGCCTGAGAGGGCAGATCATGCCCCAAGTCTCTCTGAAGTTTTTCGGTTCTTGGGCTCTTCCGGCAGCGTCTAGAAGGTTGTTCTTTCACACGTTCTGCGGCAGCACCGCGCTATCTAAACCCGACGCTCGCGCCCCGAGCCCCCGGCCTCCGCAGCAACTGATAAATTCCTACATGGCCTACCCTCCCACCCACCCCGAAACCAGTCTTTAGGACCTCCGCAGTGTCTAACCTACACCCTCCACCCCCGAACATCGAAGGAAAGAGATCTTTGCTCGCCGACGGCTTGAAGATCTTCTGCATCTCGGACGCCCTTACGTTCAGTCTTGGTTGTCGGGACCATGGAGCAACTTTAGAATTCCTCCTCCTCTGTATAGTTTCAACCTGGCATCCTCTCAGGATTCCCTTCGCGTGTACCAGCACGGACATCGTGAACTTCGAGGAGAAGGCCTGACATCTGACCGAGTCGAGGCGTAGGTTTTCAACAGAGCGGGGCAGGCTCAGAATGTTCACAAGTCATCGAAATCTCATTCGCCATGAGAATCGTCTACGAAGTCCATCCCCTTGTCGACCGAACGTCTTTACCAGCTACTCGGAAAAAATTCCCTACTTGTCATATCCCGCACCTATTGAGATAGCCCATACTTGTATACCCTGCAAACCTGTAGCCCTACAAAAGGAAGCACCCCTGAAACCCAAGACCTTAGCTGAAGAAGTAGGTTTGGGCATGCGGCCATGTAAACATGTATTCTCGTAGGAAGGGCCTTGGACAGGCAGGACCTCAAATCCTACACACACACAACATTCAAACACACACACACACACACACACCCACACCCACACCCACACCCACACCCACACCCACACCCACACCCACACCCACACCCACACCCACCCGCACCCGCACCCGCACCCGCACCCGCACCCGCACCCGCACGCGCACGCGCACGCGCACGCGCACGCGCACGCGCACGCGCACCCGCACCCGCACGCGCGCGCGCACGCGCACGCGCACGCGCACCCGCACGCGCACGCGCACCCGCACACGCACACGCGCAAGCGCAAGCGCAAGCACAAGAGCAAGCACAAGAGCAAGCACAAGAGCAAGCACACTCGCACAAGCAGAAAAGCACACGCACAAGCACAAGCACACAAGCGCAAGCACACAAGCGCAAGCACACAAGCGCAAGCACACAAGCGCAAGCACACAAGCGCAAGCACACAAGCGCAAGCACACAAGCGCAAGCACACAAGCGCAAGCACACAAGCGCAAGCACACAAGCGCAAGCACACAAGCGCAAGCATAAACGCACACGCACAAGCACAAGCACACACGCACGCGCACAAGCACATGAGACCCTTGAGGTCCACAGAGATGGCCCGCTGTGGCGTGTGGTCCGGGCATCGATGAGCCTGGTTGGCTTCGTGCCGCCGATCCCTCACCAGGCCGTTTGGGGTGCGTAGGGTTCAGGGGCTTTAGGGTTTGTTGGTGGTTGCGGACTGAGGGCTTTTCCAAGTCAGCAACATGGGTTGAGAGAACTGCTCCCTAAACTTTGAAGCATTAGAATTAGAATCATTAGAACTTAGAAGCGCGGAAGCCCCAGATCTTCCGAAACAGCTCGAAACTCCCAGCCCCCAAACCTCCCCAAGCTGAGGAGCGGAGAGAGGATGGCAAAGTCAACACCACCTTGCTGGTCGATGGAGGGCAGCTGGTCCCAAAAAAAAGTCGTGGTTTCCAAGATATTTTCGGGCCTTGGGCTTTTTAGGGTTCAGGGCGCCTTGAGCTTGACTTGGCTTCGGCCTAGGCTTGCGACAAGCACCCATTCTACTCAAAAGTCGCTGGTTGCTGGAAAGGGAGGGGAGAGGGAGGGGGCCGGGGGGGGGGGGGGGGGGGGGGGGGGGTTATTCATATTCTGTCGGCCACACCCAAAACACAATTTACAGCGCTTTTGCCTGGCACTGGTCGCTAGTATTTGCGGCGATCTTTTCTCTCCTGCGCAACATGTTTGACGTTTCTGCAACAAGACGTGTCATCGCGCTTTTGACACTCCCTGTGTAACAGGGCAACCTATGCCCTGCACTGCTACGATGAATCCGCCAAGCAAATTTGTGAATACGAATGCTCCTGCCCTCTGGGCCTCGTAGACGCCATGCAATCTCATGCAAAGTGTTTGCAGGTATGCAAACCAGTACCCCATCGAAGCTCTGAAAGAGCATGGTGCGGGTACAGCAGCTGGCCCTTGATATGGGCTTGGAGGTTTCAGAGTTGTTCATGTTGTTTGGGGTTTGCAATGTACAAGTGTAGGGCTTTCCGGGGGTACTTCCTCGCTGCCGTATACTCCGCTTCACAGCAGCCCGACTGATAGGCCACGGGGCAGGTCAACGAATCAAGCGGGCTGCAGAGGATTGGCAAGGGCTGGAAACTCAAGATGCTGAAGTTTGAGCTGGAGCTGAAGTCTAAAATTGCAGGTTCAGGGTTTTAGCCTTATTTTCTAAGTTATAGCCGCTATTATAGTATTATTATAGTATTATTATAGGTATTATTATAGTATGATTATAGTATTATTATAGTATTATTATAGTATTATTATAGTATTATTATAGTATTATTATAGTATTATTATAGTATTATTATAGTATTATTATAGCCTGGCTTCGCCTGTCAGGTCATCTGCATCGTTGCATGCCCGGACTATTCTCCTGTTTGCCCGGCCCTTGGTTGAGTTTTCGGCTTTTGGGCGGTTCGGGCATCATGGGCTTAAGGATTCCATTTTTGTGTGCGAAGTCATGCCGAAAGGCATGCGGGAAAAAACTGATTCACTAGGTGGTATACCATAGTTTCACTCATTGGGTTGAAGGGGCATCATGTGCAGGAGAATTTTTCGAAGGGTTCAAAGTTTAAAGGGCCAATCTGCTTTCAACCCCGCTGATGGAGCGAGAAACCCTTCTGCTTAGTGCCTAAAATGCAAAGACCTCAGTCAGGGGGGGCCTGCGGGGCAGCAAGGTCGGGTGAAGGATTCGCAAGATATTTCATTCACGTTTCACGAGAATGAGCATCCTAATATCATAGTTGGGCTGATCTTTGGCAATGGGGCATTTGGAAGTCCCTGATGCCACTTTCGACTCAGCTGCTCAACCAAAAACGGCTCAAAATATTTAAGCCCTCGAGGCACTGACTACGGCGACGTGGTCCATGGCGGCCTGGTGTCGTTACAGCGACGCTCCTTGGCCTGAGTTTAAGGTTTTTTCCAAGTTTGCTGACTCTTGAGGGTGTGGGAGTGCTTTAATCATCTCCCTCGAATTCCCTAGTCTAACCTACCGGACCTCACCTACTCTAGACTCCATCCACCAGCAGGTTTTAGCTGCTGCCGCCGGGCTGGAGGAGATCCACCCAGCCAGGCCGAAATCCAGGCAGGGTGGGCGGGCTTTAGTTTGGAGCTTAACATACGTGGAGGTCATCGAGCGACCCCCTAGAGGATCGACCGCAAGCACGCGCAAAAGGTGAGCGCATGGGTGAGTTTGAGGGTGAGCAGTATCCCAAAAAAGCAGTCTCGCAAGCGCTGGATCGGGAGCTTTCGGAGTGGCATGCAAGCCTGGCGCGTAAGCGGAAGAGAGCACTAGCGCCCCGTTCTCAGCCATGGCCAGGGGTTAATTAGGGCAAGGTGTTAGGGATTCCGAGAAAGCAGAAGGGTAGACTTCTACTGAGGAGACTTCATATCTTGGTGTATAGCTTTTCAGTATGGAGCTGCGCTTGCCACTGGCGCAGCGCAAGATTTCCGCCCGACAGCGAACCGACGTAGGAGCCATCCTGAGGTTTTCGGACAGGGAATTCTTCGGATACTTCGGGCTTCTCTCGCGGGACTCTGCGCCCGAGTTCTGGGGGGGGGGGGGGCGCCAAGGATGCTCGGCGGGACTCTTGAGGGATTCTCTGGGCACTCTGGCACTCCAGCGATACTTGGCAGGACTCTTTACGGTTTTTTGCGGGTGGGAACTCCCGGGATACTCGGCCGGACTCTCTACGAGCTTCTCTGTGGGGGTGCCCTGGGGGTCTACTGGGCCGGGCCCTCGGGGTGGGCACTCCAGCGGGAGACCTGGCGAGGAGGCGAGGAGAATAGTTGACGTAAAACCTAACAAACCCACAAACGACGATGAATAGAAGCGATCGTGCTCAGAGGAAGAGGCGTGGCGAAGTAGGAACGAGGAGAATAAGCAACGCATCACGAGCTTCTACACGATGAGATGAGAGAATACTGCACCCCACCCACCCGTCAAGCTCGGAAGTCGAGGAACGCTTGATGTTTCTTGTCGAGGCGATGAAGGACTGAAGTTAGTCACGATGAGCTTGCAGGGTTTAGAAGGTGTTTGGCTTGCTTGGGCTTGGGTGACTTGCAGCGTGGGCTTGTGAATCTGGGTCTCCTGAAGCTTGCAGCGCATTCAGCGTGAGACCTCATGCGAAATCGAAGCTCTGTGACCCCATGGGTCATCATCAGCCTAAACAGCGTTTAACCCAACCTAGAGGGTCGATATTGCAGGGCCAGAGCTGCATCAAAGTTCTGGAGCGACTGGTAACCCTGATAAGCCCGAAGCCCTTAAACGCACATGTGGCAGCTCTTCAGGAGTCCCATAGCTCTCGTGCGGACCTTGTGATCTGCCCTGCCCCTGGGATTGCTCGAAGGCATTTAGGATCATGTAGGGTTTAGGGCCGTTTAGGGTCCAGGTGAGAGCCCTGGGGTTCCCGGAGCCCTTCAACGTCTCCCCTTGTCTTTGGGAAGCGTGGGATGACGGTCACGAGATCGCCGTTCTCAGCCGGCAAGAAGAGCTCTGGGCTTTTCTTGCCGTTAGACCTGAACTCATCCTGAACTCCCATGTCCAAGGACATCACCAATTATGGCCTGCTCGACTTCGCAAAGTTCGAAGAGATTTCTGGCAAAGGCGGGGGCTCCATGACGGGTCTACACATGCACCTGGGAAACATGAGATCAATAGTGGGGACTTGCTATGAACAGTGCCTCCCAGCTACACGACCTCAGCACCGCAACACCGTCCCAGAAAAAATGTCGATGCGGTGCTTTTGGGGGGGTTTGTGTCGGCTTCAGCTTCAGGATCCTGAGCCCTTACTGGCCCCAGCCTATGAAGTGATGAAGTCCCAGTTTTGGGGGGGCATCCGGTGGCCCTGAAGGCCTTGGGTTTAGGGGTTTTGGGGGTTTAGGGTTTCGGGTTTAGGGGTTGAAATCTTGACCCCAAGCCTCTGCGACCCTGGAATCGTCGGCTGATAACCAGCTCCGAGGCTACGAGGCGGCACTTCCAGAGACTTGGCTGCGCTTCTTGGGGCTCTTATTCTCCAAAGCCCCCCCCCGCACACACCAAGCCCCCCCCCCCCACCTGGAAGTCCACTTGAATCTGCAGTTGAGAGAGCTGCTCTGGCTGTATGAGTTGATGCTCAGACAAGGCTCCGCATAAACCCCCCTACTGCAACTCAACTCCGAGGGCCTTGCCGCTTGCCAGTGTGCCTGCAGCCCCGCGACTAGCCCTAGGACATCCTGTACAAACCTCGCAGCATCTAGCAGCCATCCAAAAAGGGCTCAAGCCCCAATTCGCATTGGGGGGCTTCACGTGGAAACCCTATCTCGCCTCTGAGGGAACCCACTCTTTGGAGCCCAAATAGGAATCGCAACAGCCAGCAGCTCCCGCACTCCACGATACCCTAAACCTGAACTGCTTGCGGGGTGTTTGGGATCTGGGCTTCCCGAGGAGCTCCGATCCTGGCTCAATTCGGCGCCGCAGTCCGTCCACGCGCCGCGTGGCGGGCAGAAACGCCTCTTAGGGCCCTCTTTTCCGTGTGGCTTTGGGCTGGTAGGGTTTTGCGATGTGGCCTGTTTCTCGCAGCTCGTTTCTGGTCAGCGAAATATTTCGGTCAGCAAAGAGGGTTTGTGGACGGTGATGCGAAGGGGGCCCCAGGCTTGGAGATGTTCAGTGCTTCATGGATCGAAGTGCTTGCAGAATCTGGGGTTGTTCCTTGTTCTCTTGCCTGGGGCCAGGATGAGTAGAATTGGTTTCTGTTCTGGGCTGGGGAATGGCAGCTAGGCTATAAGCCACACTGTAGGCCATCAAGACAATAAAAACCTGCGAGCGACCTGTCCAAAACCTGATTTCCCAAACCTGCGCAGGATCAGGCAACCTGTCGGAAGCCTGCAATTTGCAAACCTGTTCCAAAACAAGCCAGAGACCTGCGAATATCCTGCATCATGCGTGCGCGTGTGATGGTCATAGCATCTCATAGCTTGTCTGGGTACCTCAGGCCAGGTGTAGAGGTGCCATGGCAATGCAGGATTTAGATTTAGGGGTTTCGGGTAAGGCTCTGACCCCTACGGCCCACAGGCGACAGAGCCCACGTCAGAAGTTGGGTTTCAGTCTATGGGGCTTCGGGCTCTTGCTTGTCAACCTAGAAACCATTCAAAGGCCTTGCGGCCTCGCTGTAGTGACTTTCAGCCCACCGCAAGCAAGACAAAGCCCTCCTCAGTATCTTACATGTCACGCAGGGCTCGTTTAGGGCTTAGGGGATTGATAGGGATGCGGCCCCACCGAAGGATCATCGCTGCTGCCGATGCAGAGCAATCTGCTGAGAAAAGCGTCAATGAAGTGGAGCACCTGAGCTCATGTTGATTCCCTAAACCGGAACTGCCCCAAGCAAGCAAGCCCTAGACTGGATTTCCTGACCAAGAGCTTGGGGGTCCATTTCTAGTTCTTACTATTTCCATTTGTTCATGAGATTACTATTCCTATTCTCATATTCCTGTTCTTATTCTTGTTTTACTTTGTCACAACCTTGGGTATTGTCGCTACCATGACTAATACTTTCATTATGACCATGATTATCACGCAAAGTAGCGTAGCTAGGCTTAAATTTAGTCTCTGCATTAGCAGGCAGACCGGTCGAACCTCTCAGAGTTGCAAAGCAATTGATAACTTCGAATAAAATGTGGGGTGGAGGGGGAGGGTCACTATTGAATGGTTCACACAGGAATTTGGGTTCAGAATTGGGGGGGGGGGGGTGTCTATTACCACCTATTGTTCTTGCTATACTCTCATCGAAAATCTTCTTCGGCTCTTGCATGCTCTGGCTATTGTATTGTTACTGTTTTGCTGTTGCTACTCTGTGGGGGGTGAGTGGGGGGTGGGGGAAGGTGGGGCAAAACGCCCCACCAAATCACCAAATGGAGAACTCTCCGATCTTTGGACCTTAG